CCCCCCCCCCGGGGTCCCCCCCCCCCCCTATCAACAATTGAGACTCCAGAACAATATGATAGAAAAACAATCAATTGATAAATAAATAAGGAATCCTTAGCTAGCTACCTCTGAAGCTACTCTGGCAATACTAAAATGAAAGGAATCATTACTTAGCTATCTCTGGCAATACTAAAAATGAATAGAAATAAAAGGACTCATTACTTAAAATCATCAAATTCCAATGGAAATCTATAAAATTTCAATGGAAATCTGCATCCAAAGACCTTCAAATTCAGCAAATCTCAATGGAAATCTATAAAAATTCAATGGAGTTCTGCATCTAGAAAGAAAGTGCGCACTGACTTTTGGAAACTTTTGGAAAGCTTCACAACTAAAGAGCTAAGGACAGGAAAATAAGGAGTAGAGGGTGAGTAAAGCAAATCAAAAGGCAAAGAAAAGGAACCAATATTTAAGGCCTCAAATCTCTAGACATTATTCTAGGGGCCCCCCCAAAATAATGACAGAAACTTGCTTGCTGGACTACCCCCTTTGCTGGAAGGATTTTTTTGTTTTTTCAATAATGTTTAATAAGGGATTTTCAAAAGAAAGTGCGCACATACCTTTTTGGAAGTTTTGGAAATCTCCAAAAGCATCAAATCTCAATGGAAATCTCCAAATGTTTATATAATAGAAATCTCCATCCAAAAGCCTGTAAGATAAGCAAATCTCAGCAAACTCAAAAGGGAAAAAGTAAACTATAACAATAAAACATATCCCACTACAACTATCCCTCCCCCCCAAAAAAAAGACATTGTTCTGGGGGCCTTTATTAATCTGTGCAGGAAAAAAAGTGTCACTATTCTGGGGTACTTTATTAATCCAAGGACTACATTACTAGTAACAAGTGCCTTACTAGTAGTAACAAGAAGCTACTAGGAACAAGTGCCTTGATAGTGGCCTTTTCTTGAGGTCCTCAAAGGTGGCGCCGTCCCGGTCTCACGGCCGGTCTAGGGTCGAACGCCACTCACTCTGGACAAGAATCTGGTGCAAGGAAACATCTGAGTTACTCGTTTAGGGGTATGTGGACGGTAATTCTAAACTTGCCACGCTTCTGTTCGGAGCAAAACCAAACTCCGCTGGCGCCAGTCTGGCATGTGGTGGGAAGGAGCCGTTTTTCAATCCTCTCACACAGAAATCGTGTCATAATGGATTTGCTTCTTGGGGAGGTCACTCAAGAGGAAGCCAGTGGTCACTTCAGGGGTCGCTGTGCCCGACCTACAGGTTCAACCGACAGATGTGGAGGCCACTACTACGGCAATTGTTCACCGTAGTTCACTGCAGTTCAGGAAGGACGCTACTAGTAGCTCCTCGCAATACTACTAGTAGCAAGAAGCTACTAATAACAAGGGCATCGCTACGAACGGAGCAAGAAGCTAGTTACTGTAGTAGCTCCTGGATGCTCCTGGAGTTCGTTCGGTTCACCGGTCGGCAGCTACCCAATGTGACTCATGACCGCTGCAGGCGGCGGTTTGGCGTCCAAGCTGCTGCTGAGCGTCCACGAGGGGCGGCAGCTCAAGCTGGGTGGCACGAGCTTCGCCGTGGGCGTCTCTGCGCTGAGC